AAAGCTATTGGATCTCAGTTCACTTGGCTTACTGTAAATCCAGAGCTGGTACAGAAAGCAGAATTAAAATTGGCCTGGAAGGCGAGTTTGTTAAGTTGGTTCTTATCAGTAAGGATGTCAAGAAACCTGGAGCAAAAAGAGAGTTCTCTTTTTAGGGCTCCTAACAAGTCAAACGCACTTTGGGTGCTTTGCCGAGGACTTCTGTGTGATACCTTTGTGCTTTCATCCTGAAAAGAAATGCTTATAACTGGATTTCACTTTAGAAAGGAAAGAGAAATGTAGTCTTGAAGTTTTTGTGAAAGGTGTATATTTTGTTCTACTGACACTGGTCAAAAAGGTTGGAGAAGAGGATCTCAAAGGCATATTGTTCACCTTGTTTCACTGGTTTCACTGTGCCGTTTTCAGCTTAATAAGGTTCCTGAATTTGGAATTGCTTCCACTGTATAACTGGGCATAATTAAAAAGTCTAGTCTGTCAGAAGGTGTTGTTTTTAACTTGTTAAAAACATACCCTGTAGTTCATGGGAATGTAAATTTAAGGTGAGAAAAATCTCAGACTGGTAAGATCACACTCTTAAAACTATTGAGATGCATTCCGTTGTGTGTCTGCCTGTCTTTGCTAACGCTATAGTATAAAGTAAATCTGAGAGCCCTTTGGGGTCTTTAGGAGTCCAGGCTGGCATGTAACTGTCTGGAATGATTCTGTTCTTTCCTGCTGCAGAACTTTACTTGGTGTGATTCTGACCAGACACAGTCAAAGTCCTTTTGCCTTCATGTCAGCTTGCTGTCTGTCAGTCTTGTGACTTGTTGCGTAGAAAACAGCTGGGTTGTGAGGTGCTGTGGTAGCGAAGGCTCATCAGTACTGCTCTCCCTGGCAGCACTGGGATTACGTGAGGTTTTTGACAAGGGAAACAGCAGGTCCTGGTTCTGTTTGAAGGCTAAAGAGTATGTCATCCAAAAGCTAGCAGCTTCTTAACTGCAACTTTAAACTGTCAAGTACACATCCTAACTTTCTGGAAAACTCAGTCTGTGGTTTAGTTTTGTTCTCTAGTTCACCATAAAAGTATTTTGTGAACTTTTTGTAATAAAAGTTTCTTAGAAAACATGCATCATTGGAGATCTTACCTTGTCTGGACTGTCATAGTTTAGCTTTTATAGGTTTGCTGTTGCTGTTAATAGTAAATAGCTCCTTTTGCTTTGAAATGTGTCTTCAATTCCATTTCTAGAAGTATTTCAGAAGCAGTCAGGCAAGCTGCAAGTGAAGCAATTATCTAGATATTAGTGTATTTTTTTTATCAAGTGAAGCTGCTATTTGAGAGTCTTCTTGAACCATAGCAAAGGCTAAATTAAAGTGCATAACTGAAAGTAATATTGACAACCCGATTACTTCTTGATTGCCTCTTGCTTTATTTAGGTTTTCTTGTGTTAAGTGAAGGACTCTTAGAAAAACAGGTTTGTTTGGTTACTGCCTTAAAAGTTTCCATTGCTACACTGAGAAGATTGTGCAAGGTTTTTATTGGGGGGTGGGAGGACGACAAGCGGTTGACTCATGGTTGTGTCAGCTGGTGCAGGACATCTCCTAGCTCTGAATCTGCCATGGCTTAGCCATGGGAGTTAGTTGGTAAATGCTGTCTATGCCTAGAGCTGATCAGATCACTTTCTAGGAATCTTGATGGATACCAAACGTGATTAGGATGTTTTTGCGTATGACCACAAGTGATAAAGTTTGTGTGGTTTCTGAGGCTCGGTCCCAGCAGGATGTGGTAGCTGACCATCAGTGCTCCAGGCCATTGCAAATGTAGAGGGGACAGGGTTGGCTTAACAGCTTCATTCATCATTCCAGGCTGGCCAGAAGGTTGAATCTGGTCTCTTATTCTGCCCTGCTTAAGGGCAGGTTATTTAGAAATTAATTAAAGCATTTATGATGCACGGCCGCAGTCCTTTGTATGTATGTGTGTGTTTTCCTGTTGAATCTCCTGAGAACCTTTCAGGTGGGGAGCTGAATTACCATCTTTGATGTGACTCTGCCTTCTGCAATGTCTGAGGTTCTGGTTTTCCATGCTACCCCTCTGAGCTTTAGCGTAGGGGTAAAACATTTTTAGAAAGCAGTGATGCTGTTGGGAATGGTGGTTTGTTGCGAAATGACCAATTGTCTCCCATGATCATTTTATTTTCTGTGAAGCACATAAAAACTCAAACAGATGTACTTCACTTCTCCCACCTCCCTGTGCCACTGGTGCTCCTGTAGTGCTCACAAGTGAGCAGCTGCTGTGGAATTAATAGTCATTTATGTGAACTTTTTCCATGTGATGGTATGACTAGTGAGCTCTCTGCAGACCTCAGACTTGTCAGAGAACTGTGAAGTCCTGGGTGACTCTTTTATGGCTCCAGAGCAGCTGTACCTGGGGAGAGCTCAGACATAAAGTTGCCTTCTCTTCCCATAAGGTTGTAAAGCCCAGCCCGGTTAGCTCTGGTTAGCAAATGTCAGCGTTACGGCTGCCTTTCAGCCTTGGCTGTGGCCTCCTCAAATATGTATGTGATTATGTAATTTTTAATTACAGGATCACTTAATTTTCTTCATGCATGTTTCCTGCCTTGGTGAACAGGATGCATGAGGCTCAGAGGAAGAATAGACGGGCAGTAGTTTTGGTTTCCTTCTTTGATGTGTGTGGCCTGTGTCTGCTCACTGTAAAGCTGATTCCTCCTGGGTTATTTGTTTTGGTCTGAGTTAATAGTGGTAGAGTATCTTCCTGGCACCGATAAATACGGAGTGCTGTTATCAAGTCCTGAAGTACGCAGACCGACACGATGCTTGTTGGGAACTGTAATGTCCAGAGGAGAGAGCATTTTTTGGCAGCTTGACACATTTGAGGCAGATCTTCCACTGGCTTCAGCTTATTGCTTCTGTGAGCGGGGAGCAGCTCAGGTTGGGTTTCTAATAATAGCCACAGAAGGTTTCCTCTGCGCCGTCACCTGGGTTGTCAAAGAGCTGCTGTGTCAGACCGAAGGGTGGAGTTCACCCTCCAAGACAGACCTTTTGTTTGTCTTTTTTTTGTCCTTCCCTGGCTGGTTCTTTCCAGGGGTGCTGGCAGGAAGGGCTGAAGCCCAGACAGCAGCTTCAGGGATTGCAGGGCTGTGAGTCGTTCCCCATCACCAGCTCTCCCTTGCATCCACTGCAGCAAAAACAGTGAAATAGGTTGTGTATGTGTGTGTTTGTGTACATAAAGGTGGCACCTTGTCCTTCAACTCATACTCCATCTGTTTTTCTTGTCCCCCAGCTCTCTTATACCATGCATTGGAGACATACATGTGTTCTCTGCCTCCCCTAACTACAGCAGGGAGAGCATTGGGAACATAATTAAAATAGGATGGCTACAGAAGATACATACTCCATGCTTTTGGGACTAACTGGGAGGGGAAATGCTGGAGGTTTTTGTGCTAGGGAAGTGACAGTGGTCCCCAAGAGGTCCATTTACCACCGAGGGTTTGGGGCTCAGTTAATCTTATGGTGATGGCCTCACCGGCCCAAACTGACTCATTTCCTTTCGCAGCCAAAAATTTGTATTACTCAGCAGCCATGGAAACAGCACGGTCTCACTGGGAGGTGAAGGTGTAGATTTGGCATGGAGTTGTGTTTGAGTTGTGCTCAGCAGCCCCCATATGTGTGGTTGGGTACAGCCAGTGAAGGTCTGGCACCTTTGGACACCACTTTTCTGATTCTGGGTTTCTCTTCTTTTTGAAGCTACCAGCTTCAGATTTTGACTTCTCCAGGGCAGGCTTCCCTCAGAGTCACAGCCTCGTTAGGGCACATCCACCTGCTCCAGTGTAGGGTCTTTCATGGGTTGTGGGTGGGTATCCATGCCACCGTGGACCTCCATAGGCTGCACAGACCCAGCCTGCCTCACCATGGTCTTCACCACAGGCTGCAGGGGAGTGTGCTCTGGTTCCTGGAGCACCTCCTCCCCTTCCTTCTTCAGTGACATGGGTGTCTGCAGAGCTGTCCTTCTCGCTTATTCTCTCTCCTCTCTCTGGCTGTTGTTCCATAGGGTTTTTGTCCCCCCCTTCTCAAATACATTATCACAGAGGTGCTACCACTGTCACTGATTGTCTTGGCCTTGGCTAGCAGCAGGTCTGTCTTCAAGCCACTGGGTACTGGCTCTACTGGACATGAGGGGAGCTCTCACAGAAGTCACCCCAGTAGCTCACCCCCCACCAAAATCTTGCCAGGCAAACTCAATACAAAGAAGTGGGGGCCTGGAGTGCATTTATGTTTTGTGCTGACTGAGGTACAGATACCTTGAAGGAGAATGAGTAATTAAGTCCCCTGTGACCTGGCTTCGAGATCCTCCTTCACTACAGACTTAGGCTGTGACCTTGGCTATGTCACCTAAGCTCTCTGTGCCATTATTTTCCATTAACGTAATGGGAATAAGAAATTTACTCTGTTTTGCTGTGTGTTTTGAGGATAAATGTGCCAGCAATTAAGAAGTGCTGAAACTCCTTGGTGGTGGAGGTCATAAGTACAAAGGATGCTATTGCTGCTGACAAAGCCCACTTAAATTAACTTCAGATTAACCTACTAATGTTATGAAACAGTTTAATTTGCTTTGAATGGTATTTTTAAAAGCTCTGAGTGAGCTGAGTGGTATCAAGCCTCTCAAGGAGTCATTTTGTAGAATCATCTAAATTTTTGTACTGTAAATAATACAGAGAAGTGCTAATGGGAGCTCCACGATACCGTGTCTATCTCTGAGTGGACAGACATTGCCATTCATTTTACTGCCTGCCCTAGTGTCTGCCCTGGCAGCCCTCTACTGTGTTTAATTGTGAGTACCTTGATTTTGCTTGTAAAATCCAAGCTAAATACAGGAATATCTTTTTCATAGCACTGACGTATTGTCATTCAAAAAATAGTGATATTTTTATGGTTTGACTCAAAATATTTTCTGCAGAATAACCAAAACTATCAGTGAAAATACTCTAGCTTTGTTTCTTTACTAGATTTCTTAAATCAGAATGTTTTTCTGATTGTTTCAGGAGTAAAAGTTCCTCGTAATTTTCGTCTGTTGGAAGAACTTGAAGAAGGACAGAAAGGAGTAGGTGATGGGACAGTTAGCTGGGGCCTTGAAGATGATGAAGATATGACACTCACAAGATGGACAGGAATGATTATTGGACCTCCAAGAGTAAGTATCCACTTAAATATTAAAATAGTACTGTTACTTTTTTTCCTTTCTCCCTTTTATTCTCTTAATCTGATCATTGAAGTAGAAAACAAACAAAACACAACTGAGTGAAAAAATAGCCAACAACACTTCAGCAAGTGATTTTATGTTCAAGGTTCCATATAATAATGGGGTTTGTGTATCTATATGTTTTTTTGCTAACAATTTGGAACACTTTCAACGACTTTCTCTGGTTACTTCAGTTACATAACTGCTTTGTGTTTACAGATTCATTAAGGCATAACTTTTGAGATTCCAGGATTCTAGTATCCTGTACTTTTGAATACAGCAAAGTTTAAAATCCTTCGGCTAGTGAGATTACGTATGGACCTAATGTAGGTAAAACCTGGATGTTTTGTTCAGTACTGCTAGTCTTTCTGCTGTTTCTTGTTAAGTTTATGGGTTGGTTTTTATTGCAGTAGTACTGACTTGTTCTTGTAGAGTTTCAGCTAACTCAGGAAAGTAAAATTTTGATGAATTCGGTTTCTTCTCTGAGTATTCTCTCCGAGAGTAGCTTCTTACAATGCTTCTGGTCTTTGAGGTAGTATTGTTGCAGTCTCTCTCTCTTCTTCCCCAAACTCAGCTAAACTGTTTTGTCTCCACTCTGGTAGTGAACTTGAGAACTTCATTGTGCATTGTATGTGCCTGTGTATTCCAAAACCAAAACTTGGCTATTGTCTCCAGTTTCACTGTGTACCTCTGTTGTTTCCTTCATATCCTTACTATGAAGGGCAAGTAGCTGATCCTCCTTCCAGCAGCTGTAGAATGTTGTCTTCAATGTCTGGCCTCGGTGTTACTTCTCAATAATTCCAGTGTTCTCAAGCTATTCTACAGAAACCTTTACAGACCTTTAATCATGCTCCTGCCCAATGTGCTTCCCTTCTGTCAGTTGCCTTTTCTGACAGTCGATGAGGTTGTACAAGAATTTATCTTTTAATGCATTACACGTGCAGCATTGTCCAGCTCATCCACAAATGTTGTTTACCTTTTGTCTGCCGTTGTTAAGATCTCCCCATTTGTGGTCATTCAGTTTGAACATTTGGAGAGTGTTAATGAGCATGCATTAAGACTGTGAACGAAGCTCGCTGTGTGTATACACTTTATGGAAAGTTTGGAAATCTAATTTCAAAAATTAAATAGAAACTGAAATGAGCAAACAGGCACGTGCTGACTTGTCAGCAGTGGTAGAAATTTGTGTTTCATGTTATACTGCTAAAGGACTATCACAGCAGATGATTCATTGCTGCTTCTTTTGTCTTTCTGCCACACTTATGAATATAGTTTGGGTGGTTTTTTTTTCCAGAAGTGTCTTGACTTCTTTTGAGCTTATTACTTGAAAGCAACAGGCTGTACTGAGAGAGATTATGGGAACTTTCAGTCATTCTTGTTTGCTAAGTGGCTGTCCTGCTTTTAGCACTGTTCATACGCAGTTATGTTATTACCATTTTTTTTCTTAATAGAATGCAGGAATACTGTCTCTGGAAAAAAAATTAAATCTATTTTCTTCTGGGTAGAAAGCAATCACATGTGTAGCAGGTGGAAGAATCTTATGTTGGGTATCCCAGAGGGAAAACTGAACGTTGGTGCTGAGTTAGCTGCGTGCTGCTGCTCGGGTGTCCCTGCTGCCATAGCTGCCATGGGTGGGAGCAGCCTCCTCCTCCCCAGGCCTTGTGCGGCCGCTGCCGCAGCCAGGGGTCCCCTGTGTTTATACAAGCGGCTTAAAAACAGCAGCACTCTCAAAACTGCAGCTTTCTCTGCACGTGTTTTATACTGGCTGTGGACATGTGCACAGTCAGGGCTCTCCATTCACTTGTACTGTGGTGCAGTTGTGTGCAAAGACCCCCTAAAGCCTGCACAGACGGCTGGGCTGTGACTAGCTCGGTGCGCAGGGTGTGCTCAGGGACTCAGGAGACCTGGGCAGGCTGAGCAGAGCTAATACATGACTTTTTTCCCCTGAACCTTTGTGACAGCATTCCATTTGTCACCGCCCTGGCTGGGCACCTGAAAGGTTGTGTGGCCGGGGAGTGACTGAGTGGTTCCAGAGCCACCACCTCTGGGCAGGTGCTGGTCCCACTGTGTGTGGCTGCAGGCTGGCTTGCAGCCACTTCATTTCCACAGATGAGAAGCAGCAGAGTCAGGAAGTCAGGCCTTATTTTTTTGGTAGTGGTTTGCATCAAGGGAACATCAAGTTAAGATGTTTGGGATTGTAACAGGCCCTTGAAAGGGGTTGTATGGAGTTTTATACTGAGAAATTTCTGTATGTTGTGCAGCTGTTCTAAAGGTGCTTGGTTATAAAGGTGCCTGGTTCTAAAGGTCCTGGTGGAGCTATCATGCTTGGCTGCCATTGGTGAGCAGGAGCTGCTGGCTGCTACTGGGCTTCTGTACTCACACCTTCACCTGGGGTTTTCCTCATGGTCGTTGCCTTGTGAATTTAATGTTCATTGCAATGTTGAAGGTGCAGGAAATTGTGTCAGAAGCTCGAAATCTGGGAAGCTTGTGTGCCTGGGCTTCCCTGTTGATGGTCCTGTTCCTGTCATATACTTCTGCCAGCATGGCCCAGCTCTGCTGGAGCTCCATGCCAGGATGCACCAGACCCACACATTAAAACCATTTAGTCTCAGAATGCAGAACAGCATCAACTGGTTTTGTTTGTTTTAATTAATTTTAACTATTGAAGAATCAATGTAGCCTTGTTACATTTGTCTCTTTTCTGTGCCCCTTGGTTGGTTACTTAGGAACCCGTGATCCAGGATTTGTCTCTCTCAGCTGTGAAGCACAAGGGTGTGTACTGAGGTGGAGGCAGTGGTAATGCTGTCTGGGATCAGGATGTTCTTTGCAATGGGTCGTGTCTGGGAGCGTTCCCCTTTGCTTTATGCTCAAAGAATATTTTTGAAGTGCAGTTCTAGGACAGGCTGACTGTAGGTAGTATGTATGATGCCTGAGCTAAAGTTGTGGCTTCAGTTACAAGGTAGTGTGTCTGACTGGTAAAATGATACAGCAGAGCTCCATGATAAAGATTGGTTGAAAAACAGGTAACTGAGCTGTGTGATGATTTAAAAAAAAAAACCAACATTTCAGTTGGTGAATGGGAAGCAATGCCATTTTTATTCCTTATATGAAAATTTGATGCTTAAAGGAGAGGTAGAATTTATTTCCCTGAATTTGATACTATGAATATTATAAAATTAACCCAAAACAGAGGTAGTCAGTACAATGTATAAGTGGCTGCCCTTATGTTTAGTAGTTCTCATGTCCCTAAAGTAATGGCTGTTTTAACCAAATGCTTATTGAACTGCCTGATGTAATTATTCCTTCCTTTCTTTTCCCCTCAGACAATTTATGAAAACAGAATATACAGCCTTAAAATAGAATGTGGGCCTAAGTATCCAGAAGCACCTCCATTTGTAAGATTTGTAACAAAAATTAATATGAATGGAGTAAATAGTTCTAATGGAGTGGTAAGTTTTTTGGTTTTACTCATTTTAATGTGGTTTTCATGTGCAGCTTGGAGTTAATGCTTTGTTTATACTTGCAGCCTGCTTAACTACTTATTGCTTGCTGGTGCTGTTGCCGTGAGGAGAAGGAAAGGGGTTAGAAGGGAAGTGTATGAACAGAGCATGTTCTGAAATCAGAACGTGGAATTGACTTCTCACGCCCTTCTGCAATTCACAAATAGTTGCATTTATTATGCTTTTAGGAAACTACTTGCTGGCTTTTGCTTTCTTTGGTTTCTTCTTGAATTCCTTGTAGGTTCTTTAGCTGGAGGGTGGGGCTGGGGGGAGAGTTAAGTGTATCAAATGTGTTGATTCTGACAGGAATGGTCTCTTTGTCTATTTTAGGTGGACCCCAGAGCCATATCAGTCCTAGCAAAATGGCAGAATTCTTATAGTATCAAAGTTGTTCTGCAAGAGCTTCGGCGTCTAATGATGTCTAAAGAAAATATGAAACTTCCTCAGCCACCTGAAGGACAATGTTACAGCAATTAATTACAAAACAAAACAAAACAAAAACAAACCAAGAAACATGCCCCCCTTATTCAATTTAAGCTGTCTTCATTTTCCACAGTAGTAAATTTTCTAGATGCATCTTGTAGACCTCAAAATACTGGAAAGGAAGTTCCCGTTCAAAGGAAGTTTTTCTTGAGATACTGTAAATGATACTAATTTTTTTTTTCATTTGAAATATAAGTTGTGCTATAACAAATAATCCTGTCGTGTAACCACTGTCCACATAGCTGAACTTCTGGTATCAGGAAAAGTCTATTTAAATTTATTACTGTCAAGACCAGTGTGGCACATCTAACTTAACTGTGAAAGCATACATCCCACAATCACCTTGCTGTGTGTCTGGCCTGGGTTTGGTTGGTTGGTTTTTTTTCCTGTCTTTTGCAATAGAGTCGAAGCTCAGGGCTGTTTATTAGAGTGGACACAAAGGTTTTTGCTTCCAGTACTACACTGGGCTTTATGGACTACTAGTGGGGATGTGTGCTAACCTCAGTCATCCCTCCCTTTGTGCTATCTCTAGTAAAGGCTGAATGTGACTGACTGTGGTCGTTTTGGGGTTTGGGTTTTTTTGTTGTTTTGTTTTTGTTTGGGGTTTTTCTTTTGTTTTGGGTTGTTTTTTTTTTGTTTTTTTTTGTTTTTAAATGCCCTGATAATCTAGGGCAAGCTCTTCTTCTTCCCTTTGGCCAAGGCATAGATTGTATTTCTCTTCCTGGTCCCCCTCACCAGTGACGTGGGCTTTGGGTGAGGGTTTCAGGGTTCTTTTAATCTCTTCCCTCTTCCCCTCTCTTCAGTGGGGGTGCTGCTTTCTTTTTGCCCCACTTTGTGACTCTTCTCACCCCTAGCCAGCACAGGGGTAAGCATTGGGGCAATAACTTCACCTGTTCCCTCCTACTTATCATTTTGGTTTTGCAACAAATTTAGTCTTCACCAGCCTGGGAAACAAGAGTGTCTGTTCTGCTCGCAAACTTGGACTTTCCCTGTCCCTCCAGCACTGCTGCCACACCGCCAAGCTGGCCACAGCTGATGTTCTTAGATAGGCTTTTGACATGGGGAAAAGAGCAGTAATTTACCAGGATTGCTGAAATCTTCTGCTGCCAAACTTGAGTAGGGCAAATGTGCACATAGAGATTCTGAACACACACTCCAGCTCAAATAGTTGTATTTTGGTGCTTTGGATTGACCCAAGAATGTTAAATAATGAAATGTTGCACTTATGCTTGGCCCTTCTAAAGATGTGATGACTACAGACAAATCAAATCAGTGTAGTAGATTTTTATTAGGATTCTGTAAGTCTTAGAAGAGAAGTCTCTTCGGTGAAGATTTTGGGGAAGCTGTGCACACAGCAGATTAAGGACCTTTATTGGCTTTGCATCCTGGCAAATCACTGCCTTTTCTGGTTTACTATTTTGGACCACTAACTGCTGAAATGTGGATGCAAGCTTACATAAAACCAACCTAGTGTGTCCTAAGTTTTATGAAAAATTCAGTGTTTGTGTAAAAAAAAAAGAAGAAAAAAAAAAGGGAAAAAAAGAAAAAGTAAAAATAAATACATTTTAAAGCAGCAGCTATCAAGTCAATGAACAATTGATGTTTCCATTAACTCTTTTGAGGAAAATATTAGTTGTAAGGATTTAACATCCTCTGTAATTAAAGTTTAACATAACAGTATTCCATAAGCAGCCTTTTTATTGTATCAGACCATTGCCTGATTTTAATATAATAAAAAGTGTGCATTAATATTAGAAAGCTTTAATTGTATTTATGTTTAGAATTTTGATCCCTTATGGAATTCTTGATTTGTTGGAAGTATGTTCCTACAGATCACATTTTGTTAACGGGATGTGAACTGGTGGCAAAAGGCAATTGTCTTTATCCAGCTGCTGCTGCTGTGCCAAGGAGAATCTGTAGCTTTAGTTTAAACCTCAGGCTCCCATAGGCTGGGCAGTTGGTCACGTTACGTCATGCTGAGGAACTGCTGAAATGAAGTTCTGGATGTATGTGCTTTGATTGCAATGACCTCTATGTGCTGTAGTCCTGAGGACATCAGATCCCCATACAGTTGCATGTTACACTGTCAAGTTCAAGAGCTTCACAACTCGAATTTTTACCTGTTCTCCCTCAAATAATGAAGTGTAAAAAGCTGACCTTCTCTCCAAATCTGGATAAAAACAGGGCTGTGAAATTTTGGCCTTTTCCACGTGTAAAGCATCTCCACTTCAGAGGATGGCCAGAAGGTACTTGTGCATTCATTCAGCGTTGTGGTGAAACGAGGTTCTTCTGGGTTAGGGATGAGAAGGGGAATGACCTTTTGTGGAACTTTGTGACACGGGCTGCTGGCTGCTGGCCTGGGTACTGCTCAGCAGCTCCGGGTGGGTCTGTGAAGGCAGTGCAACTAATCCTGTGTCAGCATCGTGCGTGTGTGTGTGTTTAGTTAAAATAGCCTGGTATCTAAAGATGTTAAATGGGAATCAGAACAGGGATTGATAATTACAGCGTGCTGCTTGATTATCTCTGTTTTTCGGAGCTGTGTTAAGAGTGTCCTTGCCCTGTTCAGGAGGAAGTCATTGGTGCATGTTTGGGACCTCCTGCAACCTTCGTACTTCAAGAAATGATCTTAAAACCTTGAAACTGTCTGTTCTGCTTGCTTAGGGCATTCCACCCTGACCTGGGCACTGCTCTGCTGCGAGCTGTGCTGGCAAGAGTCACGTGTTAACAGCATTCACTGTAGGAAAAAAAAGGGTTCACCATGAATATTCTTATGTAGGAGCTGCACACTTTGAACACATGTCTCTTAAGAGCAAGATAGGAAAAGAATAAATAAAATAAGTGGATTTGCCATCAAATAAATACCATTCCTTGGAGCAGGTGCTGCTGGAGGTGGCTGAGGCAGCGCTCAGGGAGGAGACTGGTGTGAACAGGAGATGGCCATGGGGCTACCTCCTGCAGAGGGTCTGTAAGCCATCCCTGTAACAAATTTCCAGTAAAACCCTTTCAGTTGCCAGTGCTTTCCTGGCGTGTGGGGCGAGCTTTTGGCTCGTCTCGTAGCGTGCAGACAGCAGAGGGAGGCAGCGAGCTTTGCAAGGCTGGGGGCTGAGGCGAGTGCAAACGCTGCTCAGTTTAAGAAGTCCTCCTGTGGGAACCAGTTTTCGTATTTATCCTGCGTGGATTTCAGTTTTAAACGCCTCTTTATCGCGTCCTTCTCACTGTGCAGGCATTAACTTGCTAGGGGGAAAATCAGCACTGCACTGAGGTTAATAAAGACTAATTGTTGTTTGCTTCTTGCCTCGTTGCAGTCGAGCTCTGCGTGTGTGTGTAGGGAGTATGTGCTCCAATGCAACTTTTCTGTACTCTTTGTACATCTTCTCGCGGTGCTTTGGATTTTAAATTCCCGTTTCTTCCCCTAACGTGAGAGTAATAAATTTTAAGCCAAAGAGCGCGTGGTCAGCACTGCCCGTGGGTC